TAGATGATCTTATAAACGATGATTTCCAACATTTAAACATCGTTGGTAAAGAGTTCTTTTTTTAAAGGTAATTTGAGACTTTTAAATTTGAGCTTTAAAGCACTCTTTCATAATGTTTGTTTCAAACATCAAATGTGACTCTGGACCACAAAACCAGTCATAAGTAGCATTGTATGGGTCAAAATTATCAATTTTTCTTTTATGCCAAAAAATCATTAGGATGTTAAGTAAAGATCGTGTTCCATGAAGATATTTTATTTGGATTTTTTTTGCACCCTCAGATTCCAGATTTTCAAATAGATCTCAGCCAAATATTGTCCTATCCTAACAAACCATTACATCAATGCTTATTCAGCTTTCAGGTGATGTATAAATCTAAATCTCAAAAAATTGACTTATGACTGGTTTTGTGGTCCAGGGTCACAAATGAGGTTTCCCACATACATCCAGAGCGGCTTGAACCATTACATTACTATAGATCCTCCTGGTGCGTACTCTCCATAGACTGTATAAAAACACTCTCAGTTCCCGCGCAACGCTGCGGGCTTTTTTTGTTGCCACAGCAACAGCGTCATTTCATTCTGAAAGCAAAGCGCCGCCGAATCCAATGCTGTCAGCTAAACCGGTGTGGCTATGAAGTTTTTGTGTTTAACAGCATGCTTGGAGAAAATTCCGCTAACTTAGTATAACTTAGAATAATACATTTTGTTACTGGTACTGTTTTACATACCAGTTACACATTCTAACGTGTTTGTATTTCTTTGGTTTCGCTCTTAATTCAAACTCCGGTTAATTCTAACAAGTGCGCATGCGCGTTAAGGTCTGCGTACAGTAACGACAATGGATTCAGAGGGTTGTGCTGCAGACGTAAACAATGTAAGTAGATGGATATTGCTGTCTCGGTATCAGTAGAAATATGGTTTAATTGCGTGTTTTTGATTCTGGAATGTGTAAGCCTTCGATACAGTTCCTTCATGACTAACGTTAGCTAATCGGGATAACCTTGTAGCTACTATCACTGCATGTCAACAAGTGAGCAGTGCTCAAAGTTAGCGCTAATGGCTGTACAAAGACTTGATGGCAGTCGTCGTATGATTATTAATTTATATAGTCAACATTGAACCGAAGGCATGAGAGCATACTTGGATGAACTTAAAGCTTTGTAGCAATCGGCGAATCAGTTGCTAGCTGGTTCAGGCTAAATAGCGAGTAGCAGTTCTTCACTGCAGAATTTAACTGTTTTACAAAAAGAGCAAGAGTATTGTAGTAACTTTAGTTGAATGTAAATCACTCTAGTCTACTAACTGGTAACGAATTGTAATAACCCCCCACCCCCGTTATATGCAATTGATGGCAGAAATACATGAACAGACACTTGCATACAGGTGTATCTCAATAAATTAGAATGTCGTGGAAAAGTTAAT